GTGAATGTTGAGGCTCTGTCCGCACAAGGTGCAATGTGGCCTGCGGATTGCATAATTAATTAGCTCTCGCCCCATCAGGGCGCTGACGTGACCACAGGCCACTACAATATGTAGTAACCCTGAGGTAAATTTTAAAATGCCCAAAACTACTGTTTCTCTTGTTTTTATTTATCGTAATGTGTTCAAATGTTTGTGCTTTGAATTGACTCGAGCTTAACACTTGACTCAACTGAACTCGACTTTTGGCCGTGTCACTTTGTTACAACTCAGTTTGACTTGAGTCATTACGTTGACTCATTGACTGAATGCTACTACAGTCACAATCATTAGCGACTTGTTACAACTCTGTCCAACCTGTCAAAACCCTACCGAATTTACAATTTAATGTACAGCATTTTCAGTTGGTATACTGCCACGCCGACGGTCAAGAAATACGTGGTCTAAGGATTTTAAAATCAAGTAAGTAGGTGAACATTTTGCTGCTCGTTTACTCGTGAAATTTGGCATAGGCCTACTTGTCCAGTTTTAAATGTATTGTATTTTAAATGTAAGTAAACCCCCCCCCCAGATTATGGCTGCATTTCTCCGACGCTAAATACTGAAGTGCAAGGGACGACAAAATGTACAGCATGTGTGACGCACGTATACCCGCGTTATAACCAATGGTAATCTAAGTAGACATGAAACAGATCTCAATTAGTTCCTTTTCTATGCCCATCCCTTTTCCGATTTGCAAAAACTTCTGCAACGTCTTCTTGCCATTTGATAAAGAGATAAGTTTTCTGCATCCACTACGATAAGGACGCCCACTCTGTGTTCCATGCTATATATACAGCATCGTACACTGGAAGAGGAGCGTCTCTCAACTGGCCGCGGCCCGATGTAATTTCCGGGCGTGTCCGAATTATGTTCACGTCGCTTCATCTATACCATCGTGGTTATTGTCTTTTATCGATGGCTTTGGTTTGTTTGCTCGATGACGAGATGTGCTGGCGAAAATAACCCTCTACCTCACTGCAGTTTTATTGATAGCTATCTGCTGAGCAGGTGTTGCGGTGAACCAAATGTCTCGAGGTCTTTTCTTTGCAGACAAATTCCATTAACTAGCCGTCATTTCTTGGCTGTACGAGGATTATAAGGAAGGCACTGGAAATTAATGGATCTTGTTTTAGAAATATCTGCCGGAGTGAGATGATGAAGGAATATTTTACTCAATTTCTCATGACTATGTTAAAATTAACAACAGAAGCACGGAATGTTACTACACGTATTCGTCAGCTTCATCAAGATTCTCCAAGATTCTCATCAATTGATCTCCATTAAATGTAATCCTAGCAAAATATCTAGATTGGAACCCTGTATTATACCAGTAGCGTGCTTTATGACAATTAAACGCATCAGTCAGATTAAAAAAAAACCAGTTCAATTATGGCCCGTAAGGGTCGCCTGGTTGCAACTAAAATTAGTCAGTCTGATGAGGTCATCACGATTATTGACAAGAGAAATCAGTCATCCCCAACCCAACCGATTTTGCAGATACAGTGGATATTTTCTATGTCCTACTTTAATCAATGTGAAATGTCTGAACCTCGTTATTTTTACTAAATAAAAATAAGACTGGCTCAGAAGAATGGACGCGACCAATGCCCTCGCCTGCGGCGCAGGCATTATCAGCGTTTGTTCAGACCTGATTAAGCTCTCTTGTATCCATGTGCCAGCGCGTGATTTACGGAGCGGGCATTATCAAATATTAATACACGGTCACGTGACGCGTTTCGACCACTAGGAATAGAAAACTTGTCCCAGGTATTTATGAGTGAAAGTAAACAATATTAATGTATAAATTTTTGACAGTTCAATAAATAATATTGAGCTGTGCAGTATTTATTATTGTCATTATTGGGGCAAGGTCAATCATCCCTACTCGCAGCCCGTAGGCTGAATTGCGAAGAACGCAGCTACAACATGGTCGAGCCGAATGCACGCATTCACCAACGACAGGTATCGGGATCCACATGACTTAAAGCCATTCAGTCACAAGTGTGGAAGTTAGAAAAGCCTTTGAAATGGACTGTAGTAAGCATTCTTTGGTTTAATGTTCGTAACCTGGAACTCCCGACTGGTCTTGTAAAAGAACTCTGGATTGTCTCAGCGATAAAGGAAGGCTTTTCTTAATTTAAAAGAGGTATACCCCAAATATGCTTGTTGTCCGCCAAAGAATTTGCCTTTAAGTGTCGTTGATGATCAATTCAACTAAAACCAAAAGCGCGTTTCGTTGGCTATTTTGAGCAATAACCCCATTGGTCAAGGGAGCCATTGCATGAATGGCTATCCCGCTCTTACCACCAGCCAGAGTCAAGATATTCAGACCAAAGCTGCACTTCAATAATTTAATTCCTGGACGAATGTAGTATGGGCGGCCATTTGGGCAAAAATGAAAACTTAGCAAATTTAAAAGGTGGCTCCAATGTTTTTTTAAAATACTACCCTCCATACTGCACTTTCATTTTTCAGTAAATCGTGTTTACATTTTTGTTTCACTATTTCAACGGGTATTTTACTGCCGTTTGATGCTAATGAGTATTTCCATATTCATGAGCAAAACTGAAGTCATCCTAGGAACAAGCCTAAATGTCACATTAGCCCTGTTTTTTAAAATTTAATTCTGCTGGCCTTTTCTCATTCGCTAAATAATATTTTTTCTTTTATTTGGTGAAGTACTGCTGTTTAGTACATAGCAATAAGCAAGTAAACAACCCTTTCTCGTTGAGTAAATTCTTGGTACACAATTCCAAAAAATCCTATGCACTGAACTATGCCCTCCATGGATGACATCATAGTAAAAGCGCTTTCACCTCTCCAAGAAAGCATGGGCAATTTTAAATGTGTAAAACGTGCACGTTTTTCACTGCATTTAACCAAATAGGGTACGAAGGAACTTTTCCCGTAGATTTAAGAAGAGTATGCAGTTACAGAAAAATTATCTGGAAAAGCTTGATTGCAGGTACACTGTAATAATATTTGTGAACAGATAAAGCATGGACTTGTCATCAACTTTGACTAGAAGCAGTGAGAAGACACAATGGTGTGAAAAATTCAACCTGGCAGACAACGTACACGCATACAATACAGTTCGATTGCGATTTCAACAGAAATTGTTTTGCGTTCTCAGCGCGTCCAGCGCTAAACGCGCATGCACCTTTTCGGCGCACACAGTGTTTTCTGATGAGAAATAAACCGTCCCTTGTTTATTCCCCGGAAATGGATTTCGCTCATGAAGAGTATACATATAATGGATATTCATGACTGCTGTGGTAAAAAATGATTTCATGAAGTGACAAATTGTATGTTCCATTTCACTAGACGTTTCCACATGGAACCAGATTTTGTCAGTGTGAGGGGCCGCAACTGCTCCCCCCCCCCGCTACATGGTACAGCCTATTGGTACAGCGTTCGTTGCCTAAATGAAGCCCTGCGATTGTGTCTTCTGCACGGGTTCCGCGGCATCGGGCAGGGTGTATTCAGAGGTAACACTGTTAATAATACACTAGTGTCAAAACAAAACCTTTTGGTGTTATCAGATGTCCACACCAAATGCGTTACCTTAACACCGCTGGAGTTACTCTATACACCTACAAGTGTTACAGTGCAGTGTTAAAAGTAACATCAACTGTTTTGAAACGATACCAGGAAATGTTAACACCGGTGAAAAGTGTTGGCATATTCCTCTAATCAGAACTATTTTGCAGTGTATTGAAAAAATCACAGATACATGATCAGAGACCGACCGATCGGACGACGGGAAGTTATCCACGTGTTTAAAAAGAGGAAAAGTTGTCCTAACGGAGACCAGAGAGCTACGCTGTGCAAATTACGGGATAACTAGACATTTACAGGATAACTAGACATCTGAACAAGACAAAAATAATTTCAGTTTAACCACAATGCAGTTGCTTCAGGAAAGAGAGACCCTATCTCAACGAGCCCTAGTGGATGGAATCCGGTTGAACAATGACATACACGGGCCAATGAACGTGCGACACCAGAGATGAAAGTAGGCCTATGTAAGAGCTCTGGGACACAAAACAAACCATGATATTCTCGCAATCTGGGTTTTCACGAGAATGTGGAACACGTAAATATGAAGCCAGCGCTGAACCAAAGGCCATCCTGATGGTCATTAGCTTGCAAAGGTTTTTAAAGCCAGATTCATGAATTTAAAAATCAGGTTCGCTGTGATTTTATTCTGTCACAGCAATATATTGCTTAACCGAAAGTCCAGTTGATATTCGAATAGTGTAGAATTTAGTAGGGTTTAATGGTGTCGATAAAAATCATTTTATGATATGTCAAGGAACGATATTCACTTTTAATGACGCTGTTGCATGAAATGGCTCAATATCTCTGTAAAAAAATTGCACTTTTGGATTTATCATGTGTGTCATTACAAACGTCCATTGCAAATATATATGTTGGGTAGATCTTCAGGAAAACACCTTAAAGAAATATTTTCAACGATATGTGTTGTATTCTACTTTGGCAACACGCGGTGCGGCGTCTCCATGTGAGACTACGGCATGCACAAGTACCGAACACTGGCTACAGCTCTCCACCGCTGCCTCTTATAGTCAAAAATCGAGGCCGTATCGAAGGAGACAGGACCAGATTATGGCTACTCTTGTCATGCACCGCCCCATGCAATCCCATGTATTAACTAACTTAATACACCGGCAGTGCTGGGTGGACATACGTGGCGGACGTGCACAACGGTCACGTTCACAGAGTTCTCAATATTCATTTGGGTCATTTTATAAATTTGGGGTCCAAAGTGTGACTTTTCCGTCCCTGATATCTCTGACATGTCTACCATCTGACATCTCTGACAAGGGATGTATCACTGAAATCGATTTCCAACTATTTTTATTTGTTTGGCAGATAATTTCCAGTGCTTATTCAGTCTTAGAAATTAAACAATGAGTTCTAAACATTAAAAATAATATGCCAGAAATAACAGGGACGGGAAATAATAGACCCCAAATTTATATTACCCATTCGTGCTTTTGTCTGTGTTATGTGTGAATTAGTCATACGGGTGGTGGCGTTGTCTGTTATAAATTATACGGCTTTATGATTTGTGCAGAATAATGCCTATTTCATTGAGCTGTCATTTTTGTCCTAACGGTCGCCCATAAGGTTATGAAGCTATGCGTGTGCCCACAACACGTGCCTACAACACACCCAGTCATCTCGTTATAAAGCTTTCAACCATTGACTGTCACGTAAAGGAGTGAACACTTGTGGGTTGTGTGCATCAAACGTTTGCTCGAAGGGCCGGGCACGTAGTGTGGAAGTTCTTTCAATGCCTCGTATGTTATGGGTCACGTTTTATCAAACAAATCAAATATTCCACTGCAAACAGATCGAATGTTTTGTTGGGAGCAAACTGTGAAGTACACTTCTGCTGTGGTGCTAAATCAGGAATCTTTCTTTCCTTATCTTACTTTGTGGACGAGGACCGGTGGTGTCCGTGTGGAAGCATTCCTTTGGTTGATACAGCCATGGATGCACTGGAATATCAACGACGAGGTAAGTCAGTGGTGTGAACTGAAATGATTCGGCCAGCTACAAAGCATATCGGTGACTACGTTTAATTTGATTCCCGTGTACAGGACACTTCAGAGTACATTATTACACACATTTGTTCCTATCAAGCCATTTATGGGCCCACAGTTTGTTTTTACATAGTTCGAACGCCGCCATACTGAACAATTTGAGACTCTTGATAACAGGCATTTGTATTTTGCAGCTTCTTGCGATCTTTGTATTGCTTATACGAAAGCATGTTTATGGAATTTCTTCTCAGGAAAGGAGGTTGTTGATTTCATTGTGGAGTATCTGACTACCATACGGACACGACGTACATTCCCCGATGTGCAACCGGGCTACATGAAGAGGTTGGTACCCGATGTGGCTCCTCAAGAGGGTGAAAAATGGGAAGACATCTTCAAAGATGTGGAGCGGGTTATCCTGCCAGGGGTAAGTTTTTTAAGCGAAAGAAATTCCTCCGTCGAATGCTGAGTACATTTACTCATGTTTACTTGTCTGGGTCGGATTAATTGTGTAATAGACAATGGAAAAGAGTGCTAGGTCCAACTCAGCCTGACAGAAATTTCTTAGCGCTAAGAAGCGTTAAAGTTACGCATTTTATATTGATGATAGGCTGCTTAGTACTAACTAACGTCTATGACCGTAGAGTTGCCCTATCCCGTTTCGCTACCTATTGTCAAGTCTGATTTTTCACAGTAGGCCTACGTGGCAAAATGGCGGACCTGGAGACTTTTACAGTCACGGACGTTAGTCTAAAGCATTCCCAGAATTGAACATTCAAAGAGAGAGAGACGCAAAAAGGCACCTTTGTCACCCTTCACATTTTTGTATTCTTTCTAATACGTATGTGTTTAGTCCTGTTTCCTTTTTGTCTGTCATCGTTTTATACTATCAGTTTAAACGGAAGAAGGTTATAAGGATGAAAACAATGCACAGTTTGTATAAATATTTACGAATAAAACCAACTTAATCCTATTGCATGAGACGCTTGCTAGTTACAAAAATACAAAGAAAATATATGTTTGTGAATTACAAGATAATTAACGGTTACAGCTTTCACTCCCACAGGAATTGGCTTAGGTATATTCAGAAGAAAGTAAAAATATATAAAATCTGGAATTTATTTCTATATTTCAGGTCTTATGACTGACCGGTCACACTAGGTGATATTAAGGCAGCAATAATAATGATCAATTTATTTTAATATTTATTATTTTATGTAACAAAATGCATTGATAAGAATATTGGAAATTCAGGGGTTCTTTTATTGAGGACGGCCTTCACCGATCTCATGAAATCCCATCTATTCAAGTCAACAATATGGCTAAAAACACAATACGACGACGTTGTTGGTGGCAGCTATCACAAATGTTGTTATTCTGGAATAGAAAAGCAAAAGAGAGAAATAGAACGTTTAATAAATACTAAGAACAATCGGACGATTTCGCTAATCAGTGTGGCGAAGAAACCGGAAAGATATGTAAACTCAAAAACATTTTAGATAAAAGCTGGTTTTGGGGGCAATTTTTGGAAAATGCACCCATGAAACTTGTGTGCGAGATAACTAAAAAATCACTGTTTTGTTTCAACTAAATCCAGGAAAGTGCAGTCAGATGTAATACACACTGAATTTAATTGACGTTTCGAAATCGAAGGAACAATCGCAATCCTCGTTAATACTTCGTTACTCTCCAACTTCCAAATAGTTACGTTAATTGGAAATAGCCTTGTGAGTTGACCCACGCTCGGCCTGTTAACAAACGGTTATAACAAACCGTAATTCTTTTCAAATGTAATAATTAATCCTTGTGAAACTCAGTTGTCTGACTTTATGAAGTCTTTCCCACACATAAAATGACTGGTATAAATTGTCTACTGTTATTTAACATTTTCAGTAAATCAAGCTAGCCCAGGGTAAACAAAAGTGAAGATAAAACTCAAAGAGGTACAAGACTTTGGAAAACCCTACGGCTCAGTAATGTACTTGGTTGATTTAAATCTCTTTTAAGACCACTTCATCTCATTTGAGACATTTCCGTTACAGCGCTTCTTTAAATATTAAAATAAATTAAAGAAAATTTGTTTGCCAGAAAGTCGACCGTTCAGTGTGTTGTCACAAGCTAGAATGACTGCTGGCAGCCACACCTAGCTCTGTACCCGCATGTACAATGCCTTTTCCCCTTCCTTCAACCATCTGCTTCTTCCACGTTTTTGCATTCCACGCTTCTCAAACTCAAACGCAAAACCTACTCAAGCGTATTATCTTTCGTGTATCGCACTGACGTGTTCCTGGCTGTACATCGTAATACGCGTAACGCCTGAAAATAAATTTATTTGGCTTAATAGGCAATTGTTTCCCACGCTTTGTTATTTATGGTCAAGGGTGCGATTCATTTATGAGTTGAAAAAGTAAAATATGTGGAACGTTTGAGTGAGGGATAAACAATTGGATGCTCATGATGATTGAAGTAACCAAGTGGTGTATTGAAACACTGAATTACTGAACAGCTCGCGATATCGCTACTTTACAAAAAGTTGATTGCACAAATTAGATATATGGCAAACCCTGAATCTACTTAACAATGATTGAGGCCCAGCATATAGGCAATTATTCAAGGAAGATCAGTTTGACTGCATTGGAAAATAAGTTATCTGGGAGGCAGCAAATATGCCACAAATTTTAGCAATAACAAAAATAATATTCTCTGTTTTTGATGTTGGAAAAGCTAGCAACAGTACTATTGGCAATGCTCAAATGTTGATTTTTCTGCAATGGATACAATATATACAAACACAAGCACATGAAAATTTGACGTGGAATAGTTTTGAGCAACTACCCGCGCAGGATGTAAAAATGCCAGGGTTTCAGACGTCCCTCTCCCTGTGAGATGAACTCATTTCAAGTTTTCAGAGCTTCAGGTGCCAGTTTATTTCAATATATTTTGGGCGAATGACGTCACGCACATCGTCTCTTCAGTAACTATCTGCGTATTGACATCTTGTGTGCTGTTGGCCGCCATCTGGACCCTTACTGCTATGGAAACTAGGTATGACGGAGAGAAATCCCATCTAAATGATTGTCCGGAATCTTCCCTTGAGGAAGATCACTCTAAATCAAAATTAGTTAAATCTATCTTACCTTGGGATTGTGTGCATGAAAGTAACCAATATTGTGTCCTATAGATCCACTATCAATTGTATTGCACTCCGCTTTGGTGCTTACTTACTACATCAGAACTCTTTACAGTCGTTATGTTTTCATTTATAGTTTAATATTATCTGTACAGCCTCTGGTAAAGCATCATATCTATAAAAAAAAGGTTAGGGCTCCTCTTGAATAGAGTTCAGCAACTATGAGTCTCCTTTTGTAACTCCTTTCATGGAACAAGTAACTTAATTTGGAAGGCAGAGTATATGGGCCATGTCAACTACTTTTGTCAATAGTGTATATACATGCACACTACTAAAGTATATACATGTACACCACTAAACTATATACCTGCACACCACTGAACTATACACATGCACGCCACTAAACTATATACCTGCACACCACTAAACTATACACATGCACGCCACTAAACTATATACCTGCACACCATTAAACTATACACATGCACGCCACTAAATTATAGACCTATACATGCACACCACTAAACTATATACATGCACACCACTAAACTATATACCTGCACACCACTAAACTGTATACATGCACACCACTAAACTATATACATGCACACCACTAAACTATATACATGTACATGCACACCACTAAACTATTTACTTGAATACCACTTAACTCAGCAACGTCCTTTTCACCATTTTTATGATGACCCTTAAACGTGATTTTGGCCACCTTAGACGAAGGCCTCAAATGGTACAACTATTCGTTGATTCCTCATCCATCCTTGTTGACTTTTGGAAAAGACAAACTATTTTGGCAAATCTTGTTTTGGGGGCAGTTGATTGCGGCTTTGAGTTTTCAAAATACATGTACTTGCTTTTTGGTTTAGAAATAAACTTGCTTGACAAAACTGAGTTCCATCAATTTGGGGTCATTTTAATTGCTAGTCCGTAGTCAACATGCATCAGCTACTCTGAAGGGTCACGTATTTCCCTTCTCAACTTGCACTCAATACAATGGCTATAAATAATGAAAAAGACACAAAGTACACAGACATTGACATGTTCCAACGTTGAGGAGACTCCACAGCTATTGAACGATGGAGACACATGAAAGTTCTTCCATTGATGACACTTTGTTCAAACTTTGTCCAGACAAGGACAATTTCTTTTTCCTAGTGGATGTTTAATTATAAGTACAAAATAAATCATATAGTTAAAAGAGACCCCACTGTGCCGGCTCAACACCCACGCAGTCACATGCGCATCTCCGTTCAGTTACATCACTTTTATATTACACTATTCTTAAGCTAGTTTGTTTTTGCTAGTAATCATCCTGGACGTGTGGGAGCATACCTGTGCTTTTAATAATTTCACACTATATAATTTTTGCCTTTAAAACGCGGTCAACTTATTGAAATGTAAGCATCTGCACAGGTGTTTTACACCTCCGCACAACCAGATTTTCAATCTGATCTTGGTTTAATAATGGTCCCGCATTATTTACGCCTGATGTGCGGTTAGTATAGTTTTAATAAAAGGAGTAGTCTCAGAGGACTTTTTCAGTTTGTTTTAAAGATGGCTGCCATTCTTTGGTATGTTTTTCAGCAACCATGAGTGTCTCTACTGTACAAACACGTAATAAATAAACAAAATTGTTCGACAAAAGAACTTAACATGTTTCAAGTGGTTCACAGGTGTACAGTATGTATTGTTTTATTGTATATTTTTCTATAGGTCACCCACTGGCAGAGCCCTCACATGCATGCTTACTTCCCTGCATTAAATAGCTTTCCTTCGTTGCTTGGAGATATGGTTGCAGACGCAATCAGTTGTCTAGGATTCACATGGGTAGGTAGGCTAGATGTAACTTATCAAGGTGTTATGAACATCAGCCTAGAGGCCGGTTTACACTTGACGTCAAAGCCAACACAAATGCAAAATTATAACAAAGGTCAGAAAAGTTAAGAACATTTCATCTCAAGCGAAGGTAGCTACAGATGTTTCTCTTCCACCGTTTCTTGAATTTTCATTTCATCAATTCGTTTTCTTCCTTGTTATAAAGCGTGCAATTCATATATTTAACTCTATTCTATTCGAGTGCGTTCAGGGAATACATGTGTAAGTCAGAAAAGTTACCATCGTAGTTTTGTGTTAATTCAGGGTTTTGTATCACCTTCTTGAATCTAATGCTGTTACATTTTTAACATTCAATATAGGCGTCGAGTCCAGCGTGCACTGAACTGGAAATCATTGTTATGGACTGGCTAGGTAAAGTTCATTTGTATAAACCAGTAAAAAGTACATCCCCAGTCAATCATAAGGAATACAAAAATTAGATTTCATTTCAAAGACTGCAAAGTTAAATTGACTTCAATTTAATTCTATACTGTTTCGAGAATTTGAAAGACTAAAGTTACTCTGACTTTAAAATACTATTTTAAAACATCTTACATTGTTAGTTTTTAATGAAATCTATGATTCTAATTGCCCAAAAATCACCAATTCCATTTCATGGAAACAAGTTTCTTGTTATTTTATTTGACATTTGAAAAAAATTGAGAATGATTTTCAATGCTATTTAGAAGTAGAGTATGGGTGGACCAGTCCACTCTCTTTTCCTTCACTTCCCACATTATTCAGAACAAAAATATTGATTTGACAGATACAACTGTAGAAAAGCCTATCACTTCACAACCCAAGAGTTGGTTCGACTTTTAAAGTATGTATTGTTATACGTGTATTATTTGTGCACCAGGTGCAATGATTGGCCTGCCACCGTGTTTTATGCACCGAAACGAAAATGGAAAAGGAGGAGGCGTTCTACAGGTCAGTATATGGCTAGATAGAAGGTTTCATTTTATTCAGTTTATTTCATTTACTATCACTTATCAGAATGATGTGCCATTCCTACTGTATGGCACCTTGAATGCTTCATTTGTAGCTCGCGCTTAATAAGCCTTTTCGACCAATGAATTACTGCATCTTGCCAAACGTTAGTTTGAGTGTCACTCATTCTACTCCAAGCAAGCTCCGCATAAGAGCGCGCGTCTATCACATGGACTAGCCAAAAACGCATGCACGCCTCAAGTTAAAAATGTTGGAATGGGTGTGGCACAAACGCATTAATGATGTTTACTATTAGTCTGTTGGGTCATACGCAAAGCTGTAAGTGAAGAGTTGAAGCAATATTGTCAGAAGCATTGTTGAAAGTGTTGTTTGTAAGACACTTTGGTAAGCAGTTGTTAGGAGATGAACATTTGCTGTTGGTTTTGGTTCAAGAGTTGAAAGTCGGGGACACTCTGCTGAAACCGAAAAAGACAATGCATGTTACAGATCGTGCATCAAACAGCCCCAGTTAAGTTAAGATAACTGGAACTTTAACCACCTGTTTCGAGTAGTAAATTTATTAAATCCGAGTGATTGCTGTCATTGACAAGTACATGTTTTTGGTTTAGCATTTAAATGATTGAAAACAGACAAGATGCCCGAAGGTTTTAGGAGTCATTTGTAACTCTCAGTGAAATTGTTGGCACATGCTGCTAAAACATGGTCACCCGAGCGTCTGCAACTGCACAATGATGTGCCAGCACTGTGAAACCGCTGGGCAAGTTTTTGCCCAACGTTGGGTACCAGATGAATCGCCTAATTGTTGGGCAAACAGATTACCTCACCGCGTTGGGTCTTTCCTGATATATGGGCAAACTTGTTTCATTTTACACAACGGTTGTAGAAAATGTTATTGGTACTATCATTATTTTACCTAGCGGTTTTGTTTTCTCTCTCTCTTTTTGCCATGCACCGGACAGCAATTCAAGTACATAACGTGGTTGTTTTGGGTTACATTTCTTTGCAGTGAAAGCATTTTTCTGTGCAGTGAAGGTTCATGTACCAGTGAAGCTTTTTGTCTTTCCATAACGTCCTCGGGGCAAACTGTATCAACTCGTTTAAACAGTCAGTGCCCTCTGCCGAGGGCTTTGACCAGATCTCAGAATTTCGAACATCGTGGATTATTAACTTAACAATGGGAACCATTATGTTGAAAATAGATGGTTTGTTCTTCATATCTTCATAAAGTGGCCCAATATTGCAACGCAATACTTTCGTAATTAGTTTATTCTCGTCATGTGCTAATGGGAAAGATGTGATTACAATACTCTTTCCAATCCACACCTCTTGTTGTCCTTGTCATCAATGCAGATGTGAACAATGAGTCTGCACATTCGCACAGATGAAATGATACAGACAAAGCGACCACCAATCACCAAAAAGCAATGAAGCCAACGCGACTGGCATTTTTGGCCTTCAAAAGGACGATTGCCACATTCGGTGCAGCGGGGCGCACAGCATTTTTAAAGTTTTAAAAGGATTATTGGACGGTATAGCTTTTAAGTGATTTATGGGTAACAGATTTCATTTTACTTTCGTACCCCAGGCCTAAAAGGTTGCACGTATAGAGCCAAACTTTCACCAAAATGCCTGTAGCATGCCTGAGCAAATTTTTGGCCCTCGAAGATGACTCCGGCGATGTTTCACTGGGGCTTTTCCAAAGGCTGTCTTTTAATTGGGGAAGACACAGTGTGGGTTTGTATAGAAGCGGCAGTGGCTCTGTACAGTTGTCACAATGCTTACACAAATGGGGCGGGGTGCGTACGTCATGCGTACAGAGGGGGAGGGTGTTCGAGCCAGTGTTATACGCAAACCGAAAATTTGCCTTTAATGAACCTCCATCATATCAATACCCTTTAATTGCTCACACAAATAAATACCACAGTCAGCTTTCGTGCGTCAAAAACCATTCCAACACAGTAAAAGTCGACGTCTGACGATTTTTTTTAATCATTGCTACCCTAATGCGTATGCAAACGGGGGGTGGAGCCACTGCGAATGCCATACGCACAGGCGGAGGGGCTGGAGGCACAGCGTACGCCATGCGCACAGGGGAGGGGCTGGAGGCACAGCGTACGCCATGCGTACAGGGGAGGGGCTGGAGGCACAGCGTACGCCATGCGTACAGGGGAGGGGCTGGAGGCACAGCGTACGCCATGCGCACAGGCGGAGGGGCTGGAGGCACAGCGTACGCCATGCGCACAGGGGAGGGGCTGGAGGCACAGCGTACGCCATGCGCACAGGGTAGGGGCTGGAGGCACAGCGTACGCCATGCGTACAGGGGAGATGCTGGAGGCACAGCGTACGCCATGCGTACAGGGGAGGGGCTGGAGGCACAGCGTACGCCATGCGTACAGGGGAGGGGCTGGAGGCACAGCGTACGCCATGCGTACAGGGGAGGGGCTGGAGGCACAGCGTACGCCATGCGCACAGGGGAGGGGCTGGAGGCACAGCGTACGCCATGCGTACAGGGGAGGGGCTGGAGGCACAGCGTACGCCATGCGCACAGGCGGAGGGGGTCCAAAAGTCGGCATTTTGTACGTACGTATTTTACGGACGGCCCTCACCAACATTGGGCGTGGTCCACTGAAAATGTAAAGTTGATAACGTCGCCATAGTCACCAGATTCATCTAAGAAAATCAATTTATTTTTCCCCCATATTAAATGGCACAATCGATGTCTAGATTCCCTTTTTAATTCAATATTTTGGCTATTTTCACTCACTAAGAAAATATTGGGAAATGATAGGCAAAGTAACCTTTCTTTAAAAAATTGCTATTTTTGGAAACCTACAGAGATGAGGACACGGGGGAAAAGTGCATATAGCGATAATAAAGTAAAAAATGTAGCGTTACAAAACACGGGGGGATTAATGCAAGCAAACACGTTATATGAACGAAATATAAACAAAACATACACATTACAATATCCACACGTATTTAGTTTGGTATGATGACTTACGTTTGGTTCTCATTGGTCTGTAAAAACTTGGATCTGCTTTATTTTAAACTGTGAACTCTTCATCGGGCGTTTGGACGAAAACCTGACAAGACGAAACGACGAAATAATGAAGTTGAGATCGATACACGTCTCAGTGAAATTCATCCATGAATTACGTCACACGCGGCTACGGGCGTAACCATGGCCCAGCAACGCCTGTGGAGGTGACAGAGCGCTAAGTGTTGGTCACCACATAACGGAAATGACAAGAGCTGATGGTAGGCCTCCGGTAGTGCTGAAATAATCGACTCATCACGCTTAATATCCCATCTTGCACCTGGTCCTCCCTCCTTGCTTAATCGAATGGAAATGACATTCCATTCAACATAATCTTGTTTTGTGTAAGTTCCCCTGCCTCTCTTTGAGTAAGCATTATCGCCGGCCCTCCGAACTGAGTGCTCTAGGTATCTACGGACGTGCACACCAAGGTAGTTTACTATCGCCCTCATATAGCAGTAATTAAGTGCCGTCTAAAAATACGCTCCAATCAATATTAGTTTGTCAAACTGTGGAAATTAAACTGAACGGGTAGTGTATGCATGACAATGTAACTGCATACTGCAAAATATCAATGCATCATGGATAACTGGCAATGAGCAGGTGCACTTGTAACTACAGGAAATACGAAAAGAAATCAACGGATATGTGTACTTACGTAAAATGATGTAGTATGATACGTCTAGAACATTCTCTTGCGTCCAACTTTATATTTACACACTAATGCCCTCTCTTTTCTTCATTTCGAACCATTGTGGGTTCGAATTGATAGTTTGCTTGAATGTATCAGTCAGTAACGGTTAAATTATACAAGCTTTCCGCAGGACAATGGTACCTTTCGTTAACTTTTGGACATGACTAAATATAACTTTCAAATAGAGAAAATCTTAGAACGTAACTCTGTTCTGTTTTGCTGATGCTTTTACCCCCACTTATTCCCCAGTTGAAGTGAAGATATAAAGCTATGGCTATAACCCCCTCCCCCCATTACACCTGCGGTCAATTTGCTGTCTCCCTTTATTGGCCTGTTGTCTGGCTGAACAACACACAATGGAACTTTCAAAGTCTGTTTGGCTGTTTCATGTCCTTCCGGGCGTAAACAGTCATCACAAATTAGCACAATAACAACGACCACCACAGCACCAAACCACAATCACAACATCCACAACCAACAACCAAAACAAGACCAAAAATGTTTCTTTTTTGGCAAACTATTTCTTTGATATTTTGTGCTTGAAGTTTTAAAAGCACATATGTCGTACCCACAAAAAGCCATACAGCAAAACGAATGCCCTTGAAATAGTACTCAAGTCGGTCTTAGTAGTAACAATTGAAATCCTTGAACTTTCTCTTTTTTGTAGGGTACATTGAGTGAGGCAACCTTGGTAGCGATATTTGCAGCCCGCTATCGAGCTATCAACAGAGAGAGAGAGCGGGAAAATCTATCTGATGACATCAGCGATGGAGCTATCTGCTCCCGTCTTGTTGTCTATTGCTCTGATCAGGTGTGTGAAAATCCCGTATATGCAGGTCATTCTGTAATTTGATCTTTATTAGAAATCGATGTCTGCAAATCAGTGCCTCTTTCTCAGTGACAGAGGGACCTTTACAACGCGGAATTTCGAGTTGGTACCGAGAGTCTGTAAAACGTGTAATACTGATGCTTTTTATAATGCTGATGTAGTGTCTGAGTGTTTTTGTTTTACATATGTTTTAATTACAAAGTAATCGCAGAACATTAAAATGACAAATGCAATTTTTTAAATTAAACTTTAGAGGCTCTCTGCTAATTTCAGTACTCTCAGGACATGGTCGTACCTGATGGTACCCCAAACGATTCGGGGGTGTGAAAAGTAGCAGTGGATTAGGTACATAACATTCAGTACATTCGGGACAACTAAGGTGAATAATATCAGACATTGTCCATTTCTCTATCTAAATCTAAATCGTACATGTGCAATAAAATTAAATGCAGCACATTTTGTGCTGAACTGCTGAAGTTTAACACTGAATGTTATACTTTCTTGTTGATGAGCTGTGTGTCGATTTCAGATATGGGGGGGCGCAATTTGGTCTAAGTACCATCTGATTTCAACAAAAGATGTAGCCTATGGGAATTATTTAAATACCCTTCGGGATCATTTGCATATTGACCAGAGCATAATACGTTGAATTTTTCAATGATTTTATTTAAAGTATCAAGTTCGTTCATGATATTGAATCTCGTGCCAACAATACGACTACTAACTTTCAACGCTATGTAATAGTTAATAAGTGCCAAGTAGATTTTGTATACGAAAAATTTACTGCAAGGAAACTTTGCCTTTTTATTCACCTTTGTCTTACGTTGGCCCAAAGTTATGGTCGTGTCTTTTGTTTACACACCTACAGGCCCATTCTTCTGTCGAAAAAAATGCACTGATTTCACTAGTCAAACTAAGACGCATACAATCAGATGAACGGTACTCTTTGCGTGGCACTACTCTGAGGAAGGCCATAGATGAAGACGAGAAGAAAGGACTCATTCCATTCTTTGTAAGTAAATGAAAAGTGCCTTACTTCCCAAAGTTTTACTCTAGTTATCATAACATCTACTGTCACCTGAATTATTCTTTCAATAAAGTAGGAACAAGACCGTAATTTGTAACATTAAAAAGTGGATCAGTAAAACTCCAGTTGGCGATGTCCAGCGGTACCGTCCGTCAGAGTTGTACCAGCGGTAAACCTGGCGACCCTCTTTGGCAAAACTTGGTTGTCTGGCCCACTGGATAGCTGACAGAAAAATACACTGTTAAAAACGTCTATTAAATAACAGTTGATTCTATTGTCTGTTGGCATTACAGAAGTTGCTGTTTGGGGATAGCACATTCTACTGCCAATTCTTCTCTAAGTACTGACAGGAGATTCTAATTGTATTTATGATTTATGGCATGGTAATCCGTGCGTATGGATTACTATTTCCTAGTACGGATTACTACTGTACATACGGTTTTGTAAATAATGATCCCAGGCACTGATGGCATTCAAAATTCTGTCTTGAGCAGAAGCATCCGCTCATCGGTAGAAAAGAGCCATGCTGGTGGGGAGTGTTGTTTTGTTTGGTGGCAGGACGCGTACACAACGCATATAGTGCATTGTCAATCGGGAACCAGCAAGGTGGGGCTCCTACTAAAGGAGCCTCCGTTGCTAGGAAATCGTACCCTCTCTTGGTCTCGCTCGGGCCCCATGAACTGAAGTAAAGTCATGTAATGTAACATATGTAGATTACTAATCCGTACGTACGGTTTCGTAATCCGTACGTACGAATTATTTTTTTCTCTTACCGTGTCCTAAATACACTTCCATACAGAAAAAAATGGGACAGTAGAATGTACTGTCCCCAAACAGCAACTTCTGTAAGGCAGTTGACAATAGAATCTACTGGTTAACAGACAATTTTCAAAAGTGTGGCTGCAAAGTAAGGCTTGATCATCAGAAGGCCATTACTATACTTAATTGATGGCCAGCTACTGATGCCTGCACCAGAGAAATGCTAATGACACACATCAATAGAATATTAAGCTAAATGATGGGAATCTTCAGTGGTTTCTTGCGCGTCAAGCCTGTACTTTGCCACTGTAGTAACAAAAACGGTATAAGACTGAGATAAAGCCAGGGGTTCTAAAACAATCTACAATGCCTGCCCATGATTGGATTGTTCTGAAGTATGGCCAAATGCTCTATAAACACATTTGCACCACAGCAATGTATCAAACGTGGAAAGTAATCAATAATTTTGCCATTCCGACGGTAGCTTGCCTCGTTTTGAGGAATCGAGGAGGCCATTGGCGTCCCACAAACAGCTGCTGACACTGCTTGTGCTGTCGATTTGACGTCAGTATACCCGTCTGATGGCCCGATGGGCTTAGGGTGGTAGGAACAGATTGTGAATTCGGAATGATTAGGTGGGGATTTGATCGATTTTTGCGCACTCCTTAAATCTGCTGATTTCGCCAGTTCTTGCCTCCCTGTGGGCATTTTCTCCCCACCAAACTGGTGATGGGCAAATGATGATGGAACTCATTGGCATCATTTAAGACTTCCAGCTGTTAAAACGTTTCTTTATAAATGTGGAACTAAATTGTGATCTGGAGTACTTGGTGTAAAATTATAGCTGACAGTTGTGGAGGACCATATTCTTAGACGACGGAAAACTTCAATTAAAACTATCAATTAGGGGTGTTGGAATAAGACGATCATTCGGATTGATGTGAATTGCTCACGTGACCATCTTAAAGGTTGGAAGTAAATATAAATTACAAAGAGTGAGCATCTTAAGTGCTTTTAAGATTTGACTGAAAATATCTTGGTTCAGAATGGTTCATTTGAAATCTAAATCCTCGTTAAATGGTTGGAATTCTGCCTATTTTGACCAAGGTTTTCATTGTATTCACCTTGACAAAAGCTGGAGTCGAGATAATTCTGTAATTCCACATTCTGATTTGCATGTATAGGTGTGCGCTACCCTGGGAACTACGGGAGTCTGTGCTTTTGATAATTTGGATGAAATTGGTGAAGTGTGTGAGTATAGTTATAAAGAAACATTCTTTATCAATATAAAAGGTATAAATTGAAGGTATTGTAAACTTAGCCTTTTATAGGGTGAGGGGCAACTATTTGTATAAGGGGGATTTTATGTCCACCTTGCCATAGAATTACTGTGACCATTTGTCATTGGAAAAAACTAAGATGACTCCTGACATATATATTTTGATAAAAAATATTGTATGTCTGCTTTTTTCTAGATGTAGAACATTTCTTTAGTGGCATGGTAGTCTTGAGATTTACTTTAGGGTTGGTACAAAGGACCTGTCATCGAAGGTCCAGGCCAAAGTTTTATACAAATTGACACACTGTTAAAACAAAAGTAGTTACATCAACACATGACCTTTTCATGAAAATTCACATTAAATAAGTTACCTGCATGACATAAATCTTTTGCTTTGTCTTCAATCAACAGTCCCACGCATATATTTCAAAATGGCTGCCACCATCCCCTAAAAGTGTAAATTTACAATGGCTCCATGCCTGAATTTCCTGATGATGTTTTTATCCACCTCGAGCAGAAGCTTACCCCCATTAGTTAAAAAGTGCCATGTTGGTGGGAGTATTCATTTTGTTGATAGCGACGCGACCGTAACTTGTGCATTTCATAGTCGTTAGTGAACCAGCGACATGCAGTGCCGTCCAATGGAGCCTCTGTTTCCAGAGTTGTGTATACACTGTTCTGTTCGTTGCTAGGAAATTGCGCCCTCTATAAGGACAACATGAAAGGTTTCATGCGGTATGCAATGGTTACCAAAATATAACAAGATTGGTACGATAACTGTCTCAATTTAACAATGGCTGCAATACCCTGGAAGGGTGGTTTTTGCAATGGCTCCTGATCTTTTAAAATATTCACTTTATATGTATATGAGACATTTAATGCTTTGATGACAAATGGTCACAATGGGCCTATAGCACGGTGACCATGATCTTTTAAAATATTCACTTTATATGTATATGAGACATTTAATGCTTTAATGACAAATGGTCACAATGGGCCTATAGCACGGTGACCATGATAATCCCCATTTTTTAAATGGCTGTTACGCCCCCAAAACTGGGGGTTAAAGTCTGCACATCTGACAAATTCTCATTAACATTGAAACGTCGTAGCAAAGTTCATTTGTTAATGCAAGGTGGCCACGATAGGCCCATGGCACAGTAGGCACTAGAAGACTTTTTTCCAAAACGGCTGCCACGCCCTAAAAGTTGAGTTAACGATGGTTCAACATCTGAAACAGGTTTTTTCTTATAATTAAACATCAGACATAAGAAATTATCCTTTTGTAATCAATGTTTCATTGTGGTTGCCTTTTTAAAGTATCACGAATTCATTTATTTTTTTCAGAAAGATTATTCTCTGTTTTAAGGTTGTTCTTCTTCCAAACTCGATGTCATTTTTTATTATGACTCAGGTAAAGAGAAAAAGCTTTGGTTACACGTCGATGCAGCTTATGCCGGCACTGCCTTCCTCTGCCCCGAGTATCGCACTCACTTGCATGGGGTTGACAAGGCAGATACCTTTGCCTTCAATCCCAGTAAATGGATGATGGTACATTTTGACTGCACGGCATTGTGGTAAGCTAGCCCAAATTTGGTGTGTGAGAAAAACGCTGATTTGATTGAAAATAAGCAAATTATTTAGGCATCACTTTTTACAGGTGTAAATGACATGGTCGTGACCACGGAGTATGATGATAAAGTAGATTTTGTGTCGGTACAATGTAAAAAGGTGCTTAATTTTGCGTTGATATTTTGCCCGATGTTGGTAAAAATATCAACTTAGCAACCTTTGAGCAAAGTTTTCTAAATATATTTGGTCAATGTTTGACCAACGGTGACGGAAAATTGACCAACAATGTGGCAGCTTCAACCAAGGCTGGGCAAACAACAAATGCCCAACACTGTTTTGACCAATGTTTTATTACAGAGTATTGGATTGAGTTTCTCTATGTTTGGTATCAGAGATTTGAAGAATACTTCATCAGCACAATTTTCACACTTATGCATGAATTACAAATGCACTGGTAATTTTATACTATATTTAGGGTGAAAGATCGCGAGGTCTTGGAGAAGACTTTCTGTGTTAATCCTCTCTACCTTAAACATGAGAAGCAAGGGATGGCTGTTGACTTCATGGTAAGAGGGTTGATTGAAAGCCTTCCTAATTCCTGACGATGGAGGTGAAGTCTGACCTAAAGTACATGTACATACGACTAGAATCAAGTACTGGATCTCTCCTTTTAATTTGACCATTCGAACTTAACCACACGACTACTTTATCTTGAACAGGACTCTAAGGACGTAGTTTTCTTGGTCCCCTTATACCACTTTTGATATGAGCGTGCATGTCATAGGATTATGAGAAATAGGTTTGCGGGTATACCATGGAATCAATCTCTTTTGGGCGAGGTGTGGTTCTTAAAAGAACCGGTGAGTGTTGACTTTTAAGAACCACAGCTCGCCCAAAAGAGGTTAATTCCATGGTGTACCCGCATACCTATTTCTCATGTCTCCTCCACCCATTCAAAGCTTCAAATCCTAGTTAAGTCATAGGATTTCTCTTCCCTGGGTAATTGAGGATAAAATACCATGCAACCTTTCCTTGAGCAGTCTATATTATAGGAGAAATGTAGTATAATCATATTTCAGCATCAGCAGATATGGAAATAATGCAAACACACACGCTATCTTGTGACGAAGAGTAAAGCCTAGTTTCCATTTCGTCTTAACGAGGCACAGAGAGCAAACACGGACACAAACAGTCTGAAAGTTGGATGCAAAGTAACCGACTGTTTGCGTCGAGCCGCTAAATTAGGTCCATGTAAACATGCAAGCTACCATGACAGACTTATAACGATTTCTCTAAGGCTTGATTGCTTCACTTTTGCCGATTTTAACGACATCATGGTGTTACCAACTATAAGGGCATTTGACAAAATCAGTTTTTGGACGCCTTTTTGTTCAACGCTTTTGTGGAGTAGCGTCACGCTTCGTCTCTTCTGTGATTGTCTGCGTATTGTCATCGTACGCACTACCAGAGATCGTAATTATGGAAATTTGGCTTGAAGAATTTGAGCGTGCTCTTTATAATGCCACCTGTGTGCCAGTTTATATTTCAGCGAGTTAGAGGATATAGCAAAAGGTGTTGTAAATGGTAAAAATTAAAATAGAAAAAAAGTTTTCTAGCACGAGGTTACCCTTTTCAAAATAGAAACTTCTTTAATTTTAGCCATAGGTCTTTTTACAGTTCTACCCGGTTTCATGGCAAATTTCAAAACGGGTTGCGCCGTTCTTTCTGAATTTCTTGTCCTTGTCAACTTTCAATGAAAGTGTTATTCAACCAGACATCCTCATTTGCATAAGGGGGATAAACCCTTTCTAGAGAGGTCCTCAGATTTTCACCCTTGGGTAGCAATTGTACTCTAGTGCTGACAAGTTGTGTTCTTTGCATCGTCGGCTTATACATTGCATACAACGCAGTTTATGTTCCATGTCCAATTAACAGTTTTAGGAATAAAAATACAAGACCACCGAAATGTTTTAGTATGTTACAATTATGCACTGATTCATCTGTGGATGCGAAATGTTGTCCATCCGCAGAACTGGCAGATTCCTTTGAGTCGTCGTTTCAGGGCCATTAAGCTATGGTTTGTCATCCGATCGTTTGGCATCAAGGGCTTACAAGAGCATGTTCGCAAGGTAAAGACTTTTGGCACAGAAATTCTGCCTGGCTAGTTTGTCCTCCCGTTTTTGAGCTGGATTAATTTCTAAATGAACCAATCGCTCGACACTTGCAAAATACAATCATGATGCAACGCAGAGCTTTGTTTAATACTTTAATTTCCCTTTTCGGTCAGGGGGTTCGTCTAGCAAAGTACTTCGAGTCCTTACTCCGGACAGAGCCGATATTTGAAATTCCAGTTGAATGCAACCTCAGTTTGGTTGTCTTCCGACTTAAGGTACGGTATTAAGCAACCCTTTATGAAAAGCCTTTCTTTTAATAAGGTATATCTTTTCTTGTTAAAATACACGATTTTCGATTCCACACCATAGCTATTAATTTCTACACATTCAGGGAAAGAACTTTTTGACGGAAGAATTGCTTCGACGACTCAATGCCACTGGCAAACTGTACGTTGTACCCGCGGCAATCAACGGCCTTTACGTCATTAGATTCTCCGTGACGTCATTCTATACTACTGAAGAAGATATACAGAAGGATTGGAGGTTGATCTGCAGCATGGGTAATGCCGTCATGCGATGTCTGAGTCCTCTTAGACGCCGGATAGCCTCATGGCCTGCTGCAGCAGCATTTGAAGCACGACCAGACGTCTACATGGCACTCTATACCGAGTCAAAGATGGCAGCATTAGCAATACCTGATGAGGCAGATGGCTACTCAAGTGACACTGATGGAATTGACCTTCGGAAGAGTCCCAGTCTCTATCCACGGAAGCCATTTTCTGTGCAAGAGAAATTGTCACCCGAATCCGAAGAAAATTCCGGAGAAGACTGTCCAAATGGCGCTTGTATGATGAATGGCCGGTCAAACGGTCTTGGAGATGAGGACAATAAGAGTCAAGATGATGTGTTTTACCATCCCACTAAGGGCTCCGTTTCCCTTGGTGGGTCTATGCCACAGCTGAATGGGTTATCTGTCGAGGTCACTAAAAGTGTTGTCGTCCAAAACAACGAGAAGAAAATGGGGCTGTATGATATCCAGAATGGCTTAGACGATAAGCCTACCCAAGTGTCGATTGCCAGTAGAGGACGTTTTGGCGCCCTCAGCGTGGCTAAGGAGAGCACATACACTGGAGTGGTGAATATCTGTCACTGCTCAGCCAAAGAAGATACCAACACTCTTGAAGAAAACTAGATCATGCTTGTAATAAGCCGGTTAAAGAATCATGGTATTTTTAAAATTGTAGACAGTGATGTATCAAAATACAGTACCTACAATTACCATCTGCATGAGCGAATAAACAGGCTTCCTCTCATCCGTTCAATTTGCCTTCCTGACTTTACACGTTCGTGCAACCTGCACGAAGAGACAACATTACTGGGGTATAATTAGATTCAAGCACATGTTCTTAAGCTCAAGGCCAACGCGCATGTTGACAAGCCACGACACTGTTGTAGTTGGAGTTGGATAGGTGTTTAAAACGGGCGTTCGACCTGCGCGTGAGCGTGGTACCTTTTTCACTAATGGCCTTTAGTTCTGGGTTACGGATCAGTGACTGATCCCAAATTTGACAGTTGCAATGGACCTTATTCAGGGGCGTCATTTTCGATCTCGTGGAATGTAGCATATTCAATGTAATCTGTTAAAGGGGTGGTGTCAGACTATTTTGGGTTCCAAGCTTCAATCAGCTTTGTTTCAGTGTAGCATTTATATTTAATCTAAGGCCGGCCAATCACAAAGTTTAAAGGACATATATTCTAAACGACTGTTTAATGACTTTTATTTTGTTGCTTTATTTCTATCTTTAGGTTCCCCAAATAAAAAGTTAACCTCACTTTCATTTTAAGATTGCTAACACACGAATGCGGCGTGTTAACGTGTGTTCCTCTCCAATGACAATCCGCATGTTCAAGCCACACACGTCATATGCGTGTGCTCATATGTTGGACTGTTTTTACACATATCAGATAAAAATCGCGGCTGTGATTTATCAGAGCAATACCGGCAGACCATAATGGGTAAAGAGGCGCGCGATTTATTCAATGATCGGTATAATTCATTCATACACAAAAGCACGGACAAAAAGCACACTGATGATAAACATACATCGTCATTATCGATTATCCTGAATGAGATGAGTAATTACTGGAAAGTCTTCATTCTTTGTCTAGTTTGGTCATGCCATAATGGTATATTAAACCGTGATTCTTGAAACGCATGCAAAGATGCTCCAATGTACATGACATTGTATTTATTTAATGGAGAAAATGCATTGTTTTACTCGTGTTTGAAGCTGTCGTGTTTAAGTGTCGGTGTCAAAGAAAATAGTGAAGCCTGAAAGAAAATATACGCAATATAAAATACTATAATGATACATATGGCAAAGGTGTATTGTATGTTATTGTGCAGTTTAATGTCATCGTGTTTTTAGCAGTAAATTTATTGAAAAATATATTATGTAGCAAATCAAATGGTGCAAAACTTGTGATAACTATATTTATCATAATGATTTATGAAATATACAATGTTAAAGTAATTATTGATATTCTAAAAGTAAAATGTGTTCCCATTTAAAGATCAATATTAATTCCCAGCATCGGGAGGGAAAGTGGCAATTTAAAATGACAATTAAATGTTGCTGTTCAACATGCGTGACTTACGCAAAAGTTTTCCTTTAAAATATTTACAACGAAGTCATTTTATTTCGCTGAGCGTCTTTGGTTTATTTTTGCATATTGTGACTTTTTTCTTTCTCCAACCATGACTTTGCTTTTTAAATAAACTTATTATTCCAGCATCTCTCATAAACTACTTTACAGTTGCTTGGAAATATCTTATCCGTTACCATAGCAACCTAATAAGATTTACATTACACCTGGAGAATTAGATACAAATAAATTTATCTAATTAATTTTGTTACATCAGATTGCAACAAATACGCAGATTCCTTAATGGCGTACACCAAGGTCTGGGGGACAAAATGCATATTTTTTTCTCACGACTGTGAAAAGAATAAAGATGGTGGCATTTCTAAAATGCTGGCGCTTCCAATCCCTTAATAAAAAAACAAAATAAATTAATTTACTTAAAAGGACCAAATATTTCCCCCGCCCCATGGACCCTGCACTGCAAAAAATGATCAGTCTGTTCTGACAAATAATGTATTCATTAATTAAGGGATCTGTTTTCACAGACATTCGATGGTTTTTATGTTTACTTTTTGTATTAATGTTCCTGTTAGTATGGATTCAATTTTTTTCTGGCCGTAGAAATTATTTCAATAATGCAACTACTTTTGGTTCTGAATTATGGATTACTGGGATTAATCGTGAATTTGACCTGCTGTTTGGCGTCTCATTATCAATAACTTTATTTTCTTGCCTGAGTGTCTCTGTTCGGTTTTTTGTTGTTCTTGTCGTGTCTGTTTGAATTTTTACTTTGTAGGGACAGTTTTAATTATATATAACGGGTTTGCCCTTACCCAACGTATATTTAGGGCAAACCCGTTATATATAATTAACATCTCCCCAACGCAAAAATACATCTTGATAATAGGGACAGTTTTTATTAACAAAATTAATGGTTTTAAGTAATGTATATTCATATTATGCTTAAAATATCAATGTAAAGGTGTGGGTATATTATTTATTTAAACTCGGTATTGAGAGTATTGTGTAACGTACATCAATTTCTGTTGTGAATGGGAAATAAAATAGTTGATATCCATTTCTCCAAACTATTGTTCATGGTTGTGATTCACTTGCATCTCTTTCAGCTTTCTGTCGAATGAAAATATACAGCTAACTTTGGAAGATAACAGGCTGTCCTTGTGATGACAAAATGCATTTTTTGTGATTGCTTTTTACGATGTGTTTCGCATCCCTGAGCTTTCTTTGCTCATTTGACCTAGAACGCTATTCTGATGAAGCATATATTTTTCTAAGTGCTTCAAAGATGACATTTTGAATTTAAGAGTTTGCGGAAAAAGAAAATCATGATACGGAAAGGGTCGAAATCATCCTTCATTGCAGAAATTCTTCATCAGAATCCGAACGAATTATGAAAGAACCATTTGAAGAACTTGTTGAAATAGACCTGCATTATTCTACAGAGCCCCGTACGATGTTCTATAAATTAGGCATCCAAGTTTATTCGTGTCCCTGTCACATCTGACATATGATTTTGTTATTCAGAACACATTCTCCAATTTCCAAGAGTGATGAAGTAATGCAGATTACCAGTTAATTGAAAAATTATAAAACAGTTTGAAATCGATTCAGTGATATTTCCAGGTAAATTGATAAAGGTTATGAATAAATGTATAGATATTGGCGCAAATAGCCTGAGTAGCTGAAAGTGATAGCCTGAGTAGCTGAAAGTGATAGCCTGAGTAGCTGAAA